CCCCGCCCCACCCACCCCCCCCCCCCCCCCCCCCCCCCCCCCCCCCAATAACTGTGTGGAATTCTTTTTACCACAGAGGTGCTGAGGAGGCAGGGTTATTAAGTATGTTCAGGCTTGAGACACTGGTTTTTAATCAGTAAGGGATTAAGAGTTATGGGAGAAAAGACAAGAAAGTGGAGTTGAGGATTATCAGATCATGTCATTGAATGGTGTAGCAGATTTGATGGGCTGAATGGCCATCTTAGCTCCTATGTCTTGTGCTTTTATAGTTCTGTTTACTGAGTGTTTGTTTTTCTCCTTCGAGCCACCACTTTCAAAGTCTGTGAAGTATCGGCTGCTATTTGTCTATTTTCCTTGGCTTTTTGTACATTGGCCGTTTCCCTCACCAGGGTGAGGCTAGCCACAGAGGGCCATCAAATTCTATGCTCAAAGCTATTCCAGTGGGTTTTACGATGATCAGGACACAATTGCAGAGGCTGTCGTATCACAACTGTGCACATTGCCCTACATCAATTACTACTCTGCTTGTAAACTCTCTCCTCATTTATAGGTATCTCTGTGCCCTCTCTAACTCTGATATGCCTTCCAAACCTTTCCCTTATTCATTCATGGGATGAGGGCATCGCTGGCCAGGCAGCATTTATTGCCCAGAGGGCAGTTCAGAGTCAACCACATTGTTGTGGGTCTGGAGTCACATTTAGGCCAGACCAGGTAAGGGTGGCAGTTTCCTTCCCTAAACGATATTAGTGAACCAAATGGGTTTTTTTCTTGACAGTTGACTCATGATCATCATTACTCTTAATTCCAGTTTGATGGTGGAGTTTGAATTCTGCCATCATGGGATTTGAACCCGGGTCCCCAGAACATTATCTGGATTAACGGTCCAGTGATAATACTACTAGGCCAGTGCCTCCCCAGTTTTGCAGCATGTCCAATTTTAATTCCACCCCTCTTGATGGCCACACCTTCAGTTCCCTATCAGAATGCACACTGAGACAGTCAGACTCCAAACCAGGAAGGGAAAAACAGCAGGAAATGAAATCGAGCGTCTCGTTTCACTATACTGGAAAGCTGATGTTGCTGATGTCTTTGGGGTGTATCTAGAAAAGGACTTCACTGACAGGAGTGTCCACGGTCTCCCAGCTGGCACTAAGAAGCTTGGTACCCCTCCCGGGGGGTGTTGATTTTGAGAAGTCTCCAAGTCTGAAACACAGGTTTAGACTGGCAGAATAAGACCACGTGACGTTTAAGACTCTGTACATCAGGGCAATATTGAAAAAGAACCCATGTTCTTCATTCTGCAGCTGCTCCAGTGTCACAATTGGCCCTAATCCTTGACACAGGGTGTTACCAGCAGTGACACAGTGTGCACTGTAACTGCCTGGGTGATCAGTTTGCACTGTGCAGCTACTGTGGCAGCAAAGGCAGTCATGTAAAAATCTCAGTCACGACTGTGCCAGGATCATTTGGCTGGATGGCTGATTTGTGATGGACAGTGGCCCCAACAGTGTGGGTTTGATTCCTGCTCCAGCTATAAGGTTATCTCGAAGGTCCCACCTTCTCAACGTCCTCCCCTCATATGAGGCGTGATGACCCTCCGGTTAAAACCATAACCAGTCAACTCTCTCTTAGAGAGCAGCCTGGGACCATTTACTGAAACTGTTGTATTTCAGTCGGGACAGTATTAAGCTAGCGAGGAAATACTCACGCCACACAGTGTAACACCAGTAACAGCGACTTCAGTGCTCAGGAATTTGGAAACCGCATCCTGTGCTCCGGCAGAGTGGGTACCTTCTGATCATTGTCCCTGGGTTCCCACTTTTTACTGCGTTTTTAAAGCTCTTATCAATTTGCTGTCCACTTTATGCTGTGGTGCTGAGAGCCTTGCCATTATTTCACAGAATCTGGATAAATGACTTTTCAGGACCAGCTCCAGAGAAACAGTTAACGTCTCAAGGCCTCAGTCCACTGATATCTCCATTTGAGCTCAGCCTGTTTTATCCAATCTTTTGACAGGAGAGAGCTGCGAACATTCTGTGCACTACGTGCCCTGAGGACCAGTGCCTGCTATCACAATGACAGCCTGGCAACGCCACCCCTCGACAGTGCCCCTAAGGATTACTCACCAAAGATAAAGCAGCTGGTGCAGGAAATAGCGAGCTTGACACTTCTGGAAATCTCCGACTTAAATGAACTGCTTAAGGTACGTTATGGAAAGGACCTCCCTTTGTCTGACACAGAGTTGAAAATGCACTGTGGACACAACAAGACAGAGCAGGGTAGGGTGTTGACCAGGGGCTCAGTGGGAGCCCTGCCAGTAACTTGGCTCCTCAACCCTGGGGCTCAAGACAATGCCAGTCCCTGCCCTGGTGAGCGCTTGAACTCAGTCACCGAGTCAGAATGTTGTTGGTTCCTCCCACTCCAGAGACTTCAAGCACTTAATCGGGATGCCTGTCCAGTGCAGTACCGAGGGAGGTGTTACACTGTCAGAGGTGCTGTCATTTGAGAGGGGCTTCAGACACAGCAGCGCTGCAGTGAATGGTGGATGGTGCTTCATGTTCTGATGCTGCACAGGAAGCTGACGGGCTGGAGTTT